AAAGGGGTTGATTTCAACTGGTTGTTTTTATAGTATAAGGAAAGATATTGTAATACAGAGGTTAGCTATGCTTGATGGCCTCAGAATTTTCCCACTGGATTTCCGAGACAATCGGCATAGATGAAATTAATGTAATATGGGAATATCAGTTGACCATTTGTATAAATGTTAAAAAGTACTGTATTTTTCACTTTATAAGATGCCCCTCTTTTCTAACCCCAATATTAAGAAATCTTAACTTAGCTTTGAGTATTCAAGCTCTGGGCTCAATACGCTCGGACATTACAAGTCTCTGTTGCATCTGAGCCTACAGGCTCTACCTCCAACAAAGTGTGTTCCAATTGGTTTGTTCAGCATCAGCTGACATCAGTTCCATAAGGCTTGTGATTGGAGGAAGCTAAGTCAAGGTATGTGCCATTTGTTCTCCCCTCAGCTTACTTCCGTGTATAAGATACCCCTCAATTTTTCGTGTAATGATTTTAGGAAAAAGTAGTGTCTTATATACGGAAAAATATGATAATGATGCCAGGACACTACCCTGTTAGAGACAGTTTATTTGATTTCTCCAGCGACTGTGCCTCCCTGGAAATTCAACAGAGAATCTTTGAATTTTGAAGTAGAAGAGTGACCATTTCTGTTAGTCTATGATTTTTAATTAGGAGGTGTTTGAGTACCAATTAATGTTGGAGAGTATCATATGCTGCTGTAAGGTCGAGAAATGTTACACCAGTTATTTCATGTTTCAGACCCATCTTCTATATGCTGGGTAAGATTTAAGATTTGAGTCGTACAGCTCTTGTGAAGTCTAAAAGCTGCCTGTTCTGGAATCAGAAGAGGTTAAATTTTAGAGGCTAGACATTTCAATATAATTCATTCAAAGTGGTGTAGTAGAGAGACTGGCCTGTAGCTTTCGGGTTTTGATAGTTCTTTGCCTGGTTTCAGAATAACAGTCACTTACTTTGAAGGCCTTATTGAGATTGCTATGGTTTGATTCTAACTTGATGGCACATATCGAAGGAGGAGGAGGAATAGGAGAAATATTGAATGCCTGAACACTGTGCAATAATCACTAGACAGATTGTTGGACCATAGACCTTTATTTATAGCCTTTATGTTTAAGATCTAATAAGCAGACATTATTAGAATGCAAACATGTTGTTTCTTGTAATTTTAGACTTCAGCAGCCTGTGAAAATAAGGCAGCAGATGATAAATCATTCAAAAGCAATCAGATTAGTAGATCACACATTTTTGTTGAGTTCACTTGAATTGCTTTTGTTTGTTCATACCCGCTGTGTAACAGATGCATGAACAAGGATGTATGTTAACCAGAAATGAAAGAGTACAATATTTTTATTTAAATCTGATATTTCCTCTGAGATTTGGAGAGGAGAAGAACTTTTCCTGTGTACTTTTCACATACTGGCAGTAATCCATTTAAACAAACTGAACCACACTGTTTTGTAAAGATTTTGTTTTTGTCCTGCATGTTAGTGAATACAAAAAGATTTTATTCTTTTTGATGAAGAGCACATTGTAATGTTTTGTTTTTCTGTGTTAATATTTTCCTGCTTGGGACTTTTTTAAAAAATAACGTAAGTGCTTAAAAACAAAATTATTTATAGCAGATTCATCTTATACAAAAGAATATAGAATTCATGAATTATAAGTGTTGCCTGGAGGAGATTGTTGTAAATCCTAGATTAGTAAGTAAAACCGTTATAATTTGACTAGTATTGAAACTATTTTGAGAAGAATGCATTGTCAAAATGAGTTCAATTTGTATTGAGCTGTATGTGCAACTGCAAATTTGCTTCGATGAAATAGGAGGGATAACAGAATAGATTGTTAAAATTCTGACAAAATTTGGAAGAATATTCAAAATAATTTAAATTGAGAGATATGGTGACCTTAGTGTGTTGCTTATGGTGAATATGGAACTCTGATGTACACATGGAGGCACTTGCACATCTGAAGGTTTCCTTGTGCATGCCAGTGTTAATGTTGCCTTAGAATAAAATATATGGCAGCATTAGTAAACTTATGCAGCAGAAGATTAAGAATGCACTTCAAATGTCTTTTCTGTCCACAAATTGTTTTAAAATAGCTCTAGAAACTGTTCCTCAGTAATATATGGTGGTTAATTAGCAATGTAATGTTTTTTAGTTCAGGAAGTTTCTGAAGCTAGTTTACATAAAATAATACATTACTTAGGGCTGCTTATCCCTCTTGCTAGGCACAGGAAGTTCTGGGTTTTCATATTCTCTCAGTTTGGTTCTCATTAGGTTTTGTAGCTCTATAGTATACAGCATGGGTGGTACAGTTGGAAAGCAAAGGAACTGAATGTGCTGAAAGATGGCCAACTGCAGTCAGTATACTTAAGAGTATACAGTATATTTAAGAGGGGTAAAGCACTGTGTTAGTGTGTTAGCCTATATTAAAAGCAGCACACTTTTAATATAGGCTCATTTCACATATACAAATTCATAATTTGCACAAGAGAAGTATTCTTGCCAGCCCCATATGACCCTTGTAGTTCACTATGACTCAGAGGACAATTCCTAGTAGGAACAATCTGATGTCTTGCTTTACAAGATACTTAACTCTGTTGGAGGTGAGTTGATCTGCAGACATAAAGATTTTATTTAAATGGTAGGGGATCCAGAAAAGCAGCACCCTGATTGTTGTGATAATTCTGAAATAACAGTGATCTTCATGCATGATTAAAAGTTATAAACAGTTCCAGAAAAATACTCTACTGAAGTGGTGTTTAGTTCTCATTACTGGGACTTTAGATTTCCTAAATTTGCTTACTAAAAATGTTGAATTTTGTATACCTGCTAATGCAGTTATTTCTTTGTAATTCTGAAGATACATATTATTTGCTGATTTTATGCAGTTTGTTTGAGTGAGTCCATTATTTAAATGAAAATGTAACAGAAAATGTGGTGGAATATTCTAGTCTGAACTTTTTATGGCACTGACTCTCTGAGTCCAGTAAAACTATACTTTGTTATTGTTCTTAAAATTAATGGAACAAGGTAGTTGTGATTAACTACAGTGGTGCCTCACTTGATGACGTTAATTTGTTCCAGCAAAATCGCTGTAGAGTGAAAACGTTGTCAAGCGAAATAAAAAAGCCCATTGAAATGCATTGAAAACCGTTCAATGCGGTCCAATGGGCTGAATACCTGCTCTTCCAGCGAAGATCCTCCATGGGGCGGCCATTTTCGGTGCCTATAGTGTGAAAAATGCCTCCTAAAACAGTGGGGAGCCATTTTGAGCAGCTGGCGGTCGTTTTGAAAACCAGACAATCAGCTGTTTTAATTGGCGTAATGCGAAGAATCGGTTCCTGAAGTAGGGAACCGATCGTTGCAAAGCAAAAAAACCCATTAAAACATCGTTTTGCGATTGCAAAACCATCGTTGTGAGGCGGATTCGTCGTTATGCGGGGTAATCGTTAAGCGGGGCATGACTGTACTCTACTTCCATTTATCTCAATATAATGTAAAGATAACTGATTTTAGTTGGATGGTGGTACAGTAAAGGATATTGGAATTTATTTATTTTCCTTTTATTTTAAGAGTCACGGCCACTATCAGTTCCCGTGAAAGCCATGCTAAGCTCACTTGAAGGCTGCAGAAAAAGTCCCGAGGAAACAATGAAAGAATATATTGGAATAGTGTGGAATGCAGTTAAGCGCCTTACAGTTCAGGTAAGGTTTTGGAGGTGGGGATGAGGAAAAGAATAAAGTATTTGATGCTTTCCAGGATCTCATTTTAAAACTCAGAGCCGATCATACCATTAGGTACATACAGTGAGGTGAAGCCTCATGCAACAAATTATTAGTGATTCAATTGGTTTTCTTCCCTTTCATAACATGTCATACTTGCAAGCCCATTGGTTGGTCCTGTATTTTTGTATTTTTATTGCCAGAAACAAAGTCCTCTGAAGGTGCCGGCCACAGAGACTGGCGAAATGTTAGAACAATTTTCAGAACACGGCCAAAGAGCCCGAAAAACCCACAACAACCATTGAACATTAAGCTTAAATTTAAATGGAGATACAGTTCAGTGTGTTCTGTTTGTGTGATAATGTGTAACAATAGCAATAGCAATTGATGCTTTGTTTTTGTGCACGTCTCATAGGATGTCTCAGATTCGTTGTTCAGATTAGTGATGCTTTTATAGGAACTCCACTATTCAAATACTCAGTTATTCATAGCAAGACGACGTCTCTGCTTCTGAAGATGCTGTCTAGGTTTGTCATTGCTTTCCTCCTAAGAAGCAGGTGTCTTTTAATTTCGTGGCTGCTGCCCCCATCTGCAGTGATCATAGAGCCCAAGAAAGTAAAATCTGTCACTGCCCCCATATCTTCCCATTCTATTTGCCAGGAGGTGATGGGACCAGTGGCCATGATCTTAGGTTTTTGTTTTTTTTATGTTGAGCTTCAGACCATTTTTGGTGCTATCCTCTTTCACCCTCATTAAGAGGTTCTTTAATTCATCCTCACTTTCTGCCATCAGAGTGGTATCATCTGCATATCTGGCAATCTTAATTTTAGTTTGGGATTCATCCAGTCTTGCCTTTTGCATGATGTATTCTGCATATAAGTTAAATAAGCAGGGGGGCAATATACAGCCTTGTCATACTCCTTTCCCAATTTTGAACCAATCAGTTGTTCCATATCCAGTTCTAACTGGATATGGCTTCAGAATAAGTTCAAACTTTGCTTTAACACCCTACCTTCTGAAGTTTATAATGTTCCTTTCCCATTTCAACAGAAATAGAAAGAAGAGGCTTTTTGTATTGCAAAGAGATTAGTGAAGAAGCTCAGTGCAAAGGCGAAAGTCTCATTTTTATCTTGGTGTATTCAAACTGTGATACGCTTCCCTGAATGCAGCCTTTTTTTTCTTTTCTTTTTTTCCCCCGTCAGGGTTTATGGTCAGGGAGAATTACAGAACTTGAGGCATTGAACAGCTTTTCTTATTCATTTTATTTTATTATATTAAAAGTCTTGCTTTAGGCTGTATGATGACATAAAACTGTCTATGTTAGGAAATTAGTAGCTAAAATATTGTCTTTTCAGATACCTTTTCTCACTCACAGATTTCCCCACACATACACACACATTTTCACTCATTAATCATGCTTTCTCTGAATGTAGATTTGAGACAGTCAGTGTTATATTTGTGCTTACTCGTACTTTAGTATATACCATTTTGAATTCCCCCTCCAGTTTCAACAACCAATAATATTCTCAGAATTCCTTTGGTTCCAAATATAGAACTGCAACCTGAAAGTATGCAAAAGCCTTTCTTCCCATTGCAGTCAGGTGGGACTTAGATGGGTCTCGTACAAAGGCCTGGGACTGCAGTTTATATCCAAATCTAGATGTAAATTCATTTATCAACATAAGAAGATTTCACATAATTATATTAGAGTTCATTTTTTCTCTACACCTATGAGGGCAATGATATACCACAATAGACCTGCAGGATGCATGTTTTCATATATCCATCAGAACTATCTGCCATCATAACAATTCCTGTGCTTTCATACTAGGATCTTACTACTTCTAATTCAGAGTTCTACTGTTAGGATTATCAATGTCTCCTCAGATATTTGAGGAGAACACTTGAGAACAAGAGGAGTCATAGTGTGGTCAACAATTGGCTTGCGATTAGGGCACCAAAACATCATGGCGTACAAAATCTTGACATAGACCTTTATCTTTGTAACCAAATATTGCTTCAATGCCAGGTCCCACTCAGATACTCCCAGCTAGCAGCAGGGCAGGTTCATTTTTTTAAAATAGAAAACTAGGTGGAGCTAGGCCTAGCTAAGTCATAAAGCTTTTCAGTGTAGGCCTTTCTCCCAGGAGAGCCACATTTAGGTATCTGTATCTCATGTGGAACTCCCAGCATGGAGAATCATAGAATCTGTAGTCCAGTTTAAAAATCCCAAGCACTCCTCAGCTCTGGAAGAGTCTTAAATGCTCTGTGCGGGTGCAGGAAATCCCAAACAACCAAGTTTACAGATGGCTACTCAGATAGCCAAAGTTACGTCCAAGCAGCCTGTTCTGTCTGTCAGTTCATTCTAGTGTAATGTATTGGTTCAGAGCACAAAATGGTTGCTTCAGTGACCTAGTTCAGACGGTAGCTAAAAGATAACTCGTTGGACAGCATCTATGAAGCTATCTCAGTCTTAGTCCTGTATGTGAAGTAGTGAAGCCACAATACTGCCCTCCTTCATATGTTGGATGGAATGATTTTTTAGATAATATAAATGAATTAATTTTAAGAAGTGTCAAATGTTGTGATTTTTCACATTAAATTACTCATCATAAAAAATTGAAAACCACTTTATTTGTAAAACTCTTTTTTATGATTTAGCTAGGTTTTATGTCATATTACAAGGGTATTTCAGCCTCTTCCTGGCATACTATCTGGTGTTAATATTAGGATGGAAGATGAAGCTTTTTGTGTATTACACATGTTATCAAAAACATAACATAAATATCTGATATTTTACTTGCATTTCTGATTTCAAAAGCACATCTATCCTTCATTGGTCTGTTATATGGGAGAGATGCACACAAGCAAAATCCTTAACATAATCAAAATGGGAGGTGTTTCTATTTCAAGAATTTGTAATAATTCCTTGTGCTTAACACAGAAGTGTGTTCAGTATTGGCAAAAGAACACGTTGCTACCAAAACTGTAATATGATCCTTGAAACAGAAAGGATGTTGCCATGGAAAAATGAAGTAACACTCACTGCAGCTGTGATGCATTAATGAATAGATTTTTTAAAAAATCATTTGTGTTTGGTGTGGCTTAGAGGGTCCCAACCAGATGGTTTCCATGAACAAGATCTGATCCCCAGCTTGAGGACTTCTTACTGGCAGATTACTTCATTTTCTTTCCTTTGGATTGTCAGATCCTTACATTAATGTAAGATTTACTGCTGCAGATTTATATTCAGTTATATAAATCAGTCACACTTCACATTAAATTCACAATTTTAGACATACAGTTTAATAGTTATTTTTAAAGTGTAAAAAGGTTTATTTGATAGCTTGAATATAAGCTATTGATGTTGTTTTAAGAATACAGGAGGTGTTTGGATTATATGTATTTTAAAACTGTTCCTATCAATGAAGTGATCTATGACCATATTGTTATTTAATACAACAACCAATAAATTTTTAGAAGCATTCTTCCTTTGTTGCTGTTGTTGTAGCAGTTTCCAATGTTATGCCAATGGGAACATTCTTCTCTGTGTATAGAAGGAAAAGTTTATGTCCAGAGTGTGGTTAATTGTTGTCCCTGGACTTAGATATTTAGGCACATGTGAGCTCAAGAGATACTTCTCAAGGTCTTATATACAGTATTTGTACTTTTGTAAAAACTTACATGCACACTTAGTCATTTTCAAATGGGATATGCATTTTTATCAAAAAGCTATACTTAATTATTTGATTTGAATTTCATTTGTGCAGCAATTCTGCTGTGTCATACTGAGAACGAATGCATATGCGAAATAGATCAACAGTAGAACTACATTATTTTTCATATGGCAGTATCTCAGCCACTGATGCATCAAACAAATGGTTGAAAGGCTATCATAGCTTGAATTAGGGACTTGAATTACAAGTCATATTCTCAGAGCAACTCAAAAGTGAAAAAAATTCTCTCCTTTCAGCAAGATTTCTCTATGTGATTTCCCCTCTCCCCCTTGCAAAAATAAATCTCATAGGAAATCTTGCAGGATTTATCCGAAGCTTTGTGGTTATATATTCTGGGATCTACATATGGAGCTTTTACTTCCTGTTATCTGTAAATTCCCGGGAGATCAGAGGAGAATTATGTACAGTTGCTACTCTCTGACAATACCCCTTATATTATGAGACAAGTGGCCAAATTCTGTCCTGCAGCAATAGATATTCGTGATCAGATGTTTAGGTCGGCAATATTAGATGGATAATTGTTTTTAATATAGCACTGGCTGAGGTTTTATTATTTTAAAGATTTATCATGTTATTAACTGGGAAGAAGGGGTTGTTTTATCATGTTTTATTGGAAAATTTATATTTCTGCTGAATTTTACGAAACTGCAATTATATGTATCTATTATATGTATCTTTTACATTTCATATTGATTTGGTTTTACTGGTCGTTGACTGTAATAAAGTATTCATTCATATTCTGAAAGAAGTGCCTGTCAGAATTCATGCATAGAATTACAACTTTTCTGTGTAGAGTGGAAGAAACACCGCAAGTCCTGAGAATTTTTTGCAATTCACTTCCAGAGTGACAGGAACTCTCCTGTGTAGGATTCACTAGAAATTCCAGTGTGCAGAATTTAGCAGTTTCCTATACAGAATAATGGGTGGTGTGTGTGCGCGCGCGCGCGTGTGCATACACACACACACACACCAGATTTTGTTTTCACAGACAGTCAGGAAATCTCACTGATGTTGAGTAAATTCTTGCTGAGAGTCTGAGCATAGTGAGACTCTGAAATACATAGAAAATTAGAGATTCACACCCCTAACTTGAGTATCTGTAAAGATGACAACTTTTAAAGATTGCAGAGACACAGTTTTGCATACTACTTCTGTATATGGCCATTACTTGTTTTCATGTAAGATCATGACAGAAGTAAATTCTGTCTGTAATATTCACCAGGAACTTCAAACAACAAGGTTTAAGACCAACAGCAATAGTGACAGCAAAGCACAGTAGAAGGGAAGAGACGAATTAATAGTGTTTAGTCTATGTGAGTAGCAATTAATTCAGGATCCATTTGGCCTGAAATTTCAGTTTTAATAGTACGCACATGCTAGTGTTTGCAAGCTAGGTCTTAGTGACAATGTGGGCATTATAATGGGCCAGGGGGAGTGCAACATAGCAGAATAATAGATAAGGTGCATTGTTAGCTGCTATTTGAAATGTCAAACACTGGGAGCCTGGCTGACCTCAATGGGGAATTCCTTTCACAAGGTGGATGCCATAACAGAGGAGATCCTCCTGTGCACCACAACCAAATGAGAATCTCTAGGCAATGATATAAAACTCAAGGAACATCACAATTTATATATTATATACAGTTGAAATCTTTGGAAACCAAAGTGTTTTCCAAAGGTTTTAGTTGTGGGTCTGGGTGAGTAGTAGAGAAGATGAGAAGAATCTCTTTTGTCTCTCTCCCTTCCCTCTCCAGAGCTATTCACTCAGTGAGCAAGAAAAATCAAGGGGAAATAATGTCACTTTCAGAAAGTTATTTGGCTGTGGTTACTGCAAGCCCTTTGCAGGCTCCATGTCTAGTAACAAGTCTCCTTAGGGTTCTCTTTCACTTTCTCTCTAACAAATTAAAGACAAAAAGTTTACTTTCTGTCCAATTCATTCAACCTTCGCAAGAACGTGAACAGTTGCATCCATATTCCTGAGCAGCAAGAAACATAGGAAATGATGGTCAAAAAACCTCAGTGGGACTTGTGCAATCATGAAGGAGTTGATTCCTTCATAATTGCACACTGATACAATGGGCCTACTGTAGTTTTACTACACTAAGCAACATGATTTCAGCCTTTTATGTACTTACCCTCTGATTTTTAGCATCCTGATCTTACATTTTGTTAATGTTTATATACTGTCTTCAAAGGCATATGGCAGTGCAGATAATTTATTCTACCAAAGGAGTAATGTAGATAGTTTTCAACGGTAGATTTGAATTGATGCTTTGTAGAGCTTTAAGCATGATCTATTTTTGGCTTTTAAAAAAATGGTATCCCTGACAAAGGTTTTGATCCGTAATTTTTGTGCTAATGCAAAACCTTTGTCAGCTAGGGAACTTCCTGATTTATTGTTTGGAATTCACTTTGATTCAAAGAAAAATTGGGAGGAACTGTAAATCTTGCCTCTTCTGTACAAACTCTGAAACTCATCTCCCAATCCAGCTTGGGAGAACTTAACCAACATTCCTAGCTTTGATAGAACAAAAGCTTCACCAATTACGTCTGTGTTGCTAGAATCAATTATATATCATCACCATGCCACCAATGGCTGATGAACCAAAAATATACGCATGCCATTGCAAACATCTTTGCAGCAGCTCTTTGATTACAAAAACCTGTGAAAATACACAATTTTCTTTTTTTCAAACTTAAAAGAATACTTTCTACACTTGAATCAATAAATAGTTATCAGAGATATAATAAGTGTTGAGATAGCCCTAATATTGGAAGTGAACACATATAGGGAACACTGTATTTATTTTTACAATTCAGCTCATTTATCTATAGTAAATCTTAGTCAATTTTGTCTAAATAAAGCTGGAATAGAGAGAAATATCTAGGTAGTGTTTATCATAGAAGCAAATTATATGGAGTATTTCATTGCATATACTATATTCAGTCCTTTGTGAGATGAGACATAAATGACAATTCAGCACCACACTGGCAGTCCCTTAAGAATTCCATTTTACTATATGAACAGAAATTTTACCAAATTAGATGTGTGTATTTTATTAGCAGTGTACATACAGTTTGTAGTTTAACAATTGTATGCCTGTATTGCTTATATGTTTGAGAAATAAGAGCATATTTTTAAAGCTCTTGGTTTGGATTTACTAATTTCTTTTGAAACTGTTTATGAGCATGGCAGAACTGCTGAAAGTAATTTGTTGTTGCCCCCAAAGTTACAGCAAAGGGTGTGTGTGTGTGTGTAAGAGAGAGAGAGAGAGGTGGGGGAGGGAGAGGGAGGGAGATGTATAAAATGCAGGGCTGTTTCTGTTACAAATTATAAAAATTAATTAACATGCAACCATTTGAAGATTTTGAGTTGGATCCAGAATTGGGCACAAAAAACTGTTGGTGAAACTGAACTTCACATAGCAGTCTACAGAGAGAGAGGGAGGGAGGGAGACTGCTACATAGAGGATCTTTCTTGAACCTTGCTGATTGGGAATGAGCTGTAGCGAGGCTGTTCCTCACAGATTGGTAGAGTAACCTTATATGAGTAGAGGCCTCTTAATAGGGGGAAGGCAGATAACTGGATCCAATGATCACACACACACCTGGACATAGTTTGTGTTATTTTATTGCCAATATGATAACTGACTTGTTCATATACTGTATATGAAATTAGAAAAATATAAATAACCAAAGATATAACAACATTGAATTGAATAAGACTTGGGTGACTAAAAACAAGTGAGAAGCATTTGGTCATTAATTGGTATGCCTGAATGTTAGCTCTTTTACCCTCTGAAAGTTGACTACAGGCACTCTTTCAGGTTTATCACTGATCCAACAAAAGTAAAAAGCCTTCTGGCTTTTTCTTGCTAAATGTCTCAGGAATCCAAGCCAGTTACCACCTTTTCTATGCCGATAATTGCAGAAGAAAAACTAATAATAATATGTGGTTTTAGTAATAATGAGCAATATTTGGCAATGTAAGAAAAGTTGTACTTTTGTTGAATTTGTTGGGAGTGATGTGTTCTTCATAATGCATGTCGTTTTCTTCAAACTTCAGAGAAAATGAAGAATCCTCACTGAAAGTAACAAAATACGAGCTACTAGTCTGATATGAAACTCTAGCTAGTGCTAAAAAAAGTAATAAACTGCAAATGTAGAAGGATTTTCCCACTTTTTTTGTTTCTTTTTTTCAAATACACATTCCAACTCAATCACCTCTCTTGGAAAGAGGTGTGGAAAGGTAGATAGATGTTGAGCTTTTTCTGCCAGTTTTTCTGAATGAGTTTATAGGCTAAAATGGCACCTCTTCAGGTGTGATTTTTTTCAAAACATAAATTACAAAAATGCAAAACACCTGCTGCTAGAAGCCTTTCCTTTAAAATCAAGCTATAATTTGTAGTATGTTATACTTATAACAGATTACGATCCCTGCTATTATGTGAAGCTTAAACTTTATTTATTTATTTATTGGATTTCTATCCCCTACTCTTGAAACAAAACAATCAAATATGAAGGACTGCTTATGAGATTCATATTACAATCTTGGTTTTGTTTTTCAGCTTGAAGTGCAGTCCTGCTGTGTCTTCATTCCAAATGACAGCCTTCCATCCCCCAGTACAATTGTGTCGGGTGATATTCCTGGGACTGTCCGCAGTTGGTATCATGGGCAGGCTAGTATGCCTGGAACTCTTGTCATTTGCTTGCCCCAGATAAAGGTTATGAGTGCTGGACACAAGTATATGGAGCCTTTACAAGAGATTCCTTTTGTTGTACAAAGACCAATTCTTGAAGAAGGTAGAGTATGACAAATTCTAAAAAGGCCAATTTCATGTGGACTTTTAAAAAAATCTTAAACCCTTTCATGTTGAAAAAGCACCTCAGAAACATACCTTACCAAACTTTATTGTGTGATTTGCCCCTTTCTAATTAATTCCACTGCTTAATGTTGTCATTTCTCTTCTTGTAGTATTTTAAGTGCATCTTTTCTTTCAGTTTTTTGTAAAACATTTGCTCACTTACCATTTTCTTCTTCTTTTTTTCTTGCAAACCTTCCCCCTCTTTTTGGATTTTTTTTTTTGTTGTTTTAATTATTCAACATTTTCTTTTATGATTTTTACAGTGTATTTGTGTACTGAATGTTCTGTTCTTTCAAGCTTTATGGCTGTATATTTCATAAAGTCTGTACAGAAGGGTGACCAAAATACAGTGGTGCCCCGCATAGCGAGGTTAATCCGTTCCGGATTAACCCTCGCTATGCAGAATCGTCGCTAAACAGGTAGGGAAAATGTATTGAAACGCATTAAACTTAGTTTAATGCGTTCCAATACCTTGCTTACTTACCCGTTCAGCGAGGATTCCCCTTGCCGGCAGCCATTTTGGCGCCCTCACTAAGCGAGGGCAGGGCGTGAAAACGGCTGCCAGCAGCCAATGCGGGTTTTCCCCATTGCGAAGATCGGGTATGTTTCCGTATAGCGATCCCGAAAAAGGGATCGCTATACGGAAACATCGCTATACGGTGCACTCGCTAAGCGAGGCACCACTGTACTAAGGCTAGTGCACTCCCCCTTCCTGACATGTTGATGCAGCATCTTTTTAAAAAGAATTGACTGGGATCTAAGCCTCACATGAAAACTGGAGTTAGTGTTTACATCAGTGGTTTACATTTGACAAGAATTCAGACTTACATATCTTTATACAGAGTTTAAGACAGATGTATTATAGAACTAGAATGGCAGAATGAGGTGACAATTATGGCAGCCAGTGTGGTTAGTAACTAGATGTTTGGACATGGACTGTGAGACCACGTATCAACTGAGCTGTGAAATTCACTGGGTGACGTCTGGCTAGTGAGTGACCATCTCTTAGCTTCACCAATCTCACAAAGGACTTTTGAGAATAAAGTGGTGACTTGAAAGAACATTTAACAAACAAACAAGTATTATATTAAAAACAGTAAATAAAAAAAAACATTTAAAAGCAACAAAGCACAAAAATCCATTTCAAAAAACCTTCTCAGATAGCCAGACACTACCGAAAATCCCACTTGAAGAGAAAGATTTTCACTTACTTGTAGCAAAGAAAGACTCTGGCTTCCCATGAGAAGGAATTTACAGAGTTTGGGTGCAGCGACTGAGGAGGCCCTGTCCTGTGTCCCCACCGAAGGGTGGTAGGACTGAGAGAAAGGCCTCGCCTGATTATCTTAATACCTGAGCAGGCTCATCAAGGGAAATGTGGCCTTTTAAATAGCTTTGACCCGAACTGTTTAGGGCTTTATACCTTAAAACCAGCACTTTGAATGATCCCCAGAAATGGATTGGCAGCCAATGGAGTTGCTGTAAAGGGCAATTGTATATCCCCTGTAACCAGCCCCAGTTAATCTGGCTGCAGCATTTTGGATCCGCTGGAATTTCTGACCACTTTCCAAAGGCAGCCCCACATAGAGCACATTATAGAAATCCATCTGAGTTGTAACTTAGGGAATGTGTCACTGTGGCTAGATCAATGCTCTCAAGAAATGGATGCAGTTGGCACACTAGTTTTAACTGCAAAGGTACTCCTGGCCACAGCCAAAGCCTGGGTATCCAGGCTTAGATACAAATCCAGGAGTTCACTTAAACTATGCACTTGTATTTTGGGGTGTGTGTATGTGTACCCCATCCAATACAGGCTGGGTCGCTGTTTCTTGATGTGCCTTTCGACTGACAAGGAGCACCTCTGTCTTGTCTGGATTAAGTTTCAGTTTACTCACCGTCATCCAATCCATTCCTGACACCAGACACTAATTTAGAACCGAAACAGTTTCCTCTGATTATAGTTGGGCATTAATTAAGAGGCTTAATCTTGTTTCTTCACCTGTACAGCAAAGGAGATTGCACTGTATGCAGCAGGCAGACAGAATTGTGGAAATCAACTCTCCCCCTCCCCCTTTCCTACTGCCCTGAGTATTTCAAAATGCTGGTTTTAATCTATAAAACCTTAAATGGCCTGGGTCCAAGCTATCTCAAAGATCATATCTTCCAACCCACCTTGGGTTTTAAGACAATCAAGGGACGCCTTTCTCTCGGTCCTGCTGCTTTCACAGGTGCATCTGATGGGGACATAGGACAACAACCTTCTCTGTTGCTACACCCAGACTTTGAAATTCCTTCTCACAGGAGGCCAGACTGTGCCCCCTCTTTGCTGTTTTTCCGCAAGCAGACAAAGACCTTTCTCTTTAGAGGCAAGCTTTCCCTCAATAACTAGCTACCTGTGCGTGATGTTTTTAGATGGATTGTTATGCATGACTGCTTTGACTACAATTTTAGTACTATTTGTGTTTTCCATTTCTCAGAGTGGCATTGTGTTTTTTAAAAATTGTTTGCTTATTGTTCTTAGCTTCAATATTGCCTTTTATGTCAAATGCCTCTTCACCCTTTGTTCTTAGCTTTGAATATTATCTTTGTTTACCACTGTTGTATACTCATTGTTTTCTACTTTAAATATTGTCTTTCACTGTTGTAAGCCTCCTTGGGTCCTTTTCAAAGAGAACAGCAGGATAAAAATATCTTAAATAAATAAATAAAACTGATATCCCTCTCTCTGTTTTTGTAACTGCATTCACCTGCTCATTCTGAAATTTCCATTGCTTGTAGAAAGGACAAATCAATTAAAGCATGGCAAATTAAAGTAATTTATGTCTTTGTGCATTGATCTAGATTTTAATGCATAAAGTAGGCAATCAGATGAGATGGTGCTTTTACCAAGAGCCGATATAAGTAAATATGTTTTTTCAAAAAACCTCAGTGACTGCTGGAACCACCACCATTATTGGTTTGGAAGGATGCCACATTCCTTATCCATTAGTGTTTGGTAGCCATTTGTCTTTGGTAAAATATCTTTCTGTACCTTGAAACATTAGCAGGTTGTTGGAAAACAAACACAGTGAACCTCTTATATACATATTGTTGGGGCTTAAGAACAATCATTTAGACAAGTTGGTATTAACAATTTTTTTCAAAATTTGAAAGCTTTGGCTTGAGTTATCCATTGAACAGACCTCTTCTCACATTCTTGTGAACATAATAATTTTTAGCATAATTAGTAACAACTAGAGTAGACCCATTGGAATCAGTGGAATTTATGGACAATTTGACTCACCAAATCCCCACTTATTGTTCAGGTGCACCTTACTCCAGTGTACCTTAATACACTAAGCAACAGGATTTCAGTCATAGTTTGTTAAGACCTCAGTAATTCTAAGTTCTGTATGGCATAGGAAGTGTTCTTCCAATGCAGAAACATCATAATGTTATCTAATACTTGTTTTGCCTTGTTCTTTATTCATCAGGAGATGCTTTCCCTTGGACATTCAATCTGAAACATTTCAGTGTATATACTCTTCTTGGGCAGCAAATGACTCTCACTGTAATAGAACCCATGGGCTGCACTTCAACTCTGGCAGTCACATCACAGACACTGCTTACAGCAGGGCCTGAATCCAGGCACTCATTTGTTGTATGTCTTCATGTTGACCTCGAATCGCTTGAAGTAAAATGTTCAAATCCTCAGGTTGGTGCTTTTATTTGATTTATTGAAGTAAATTAAAAATTACTTGATTCAAGGATTATTACTCTGGGTTTTGTAAAAAAAGTTCCTTTCTTTCAAGCCTCTTTCTCTCTTAAAAACAAAGCCATCAAGATCAGAGTCCTTAGATTAAGATTTGCTTTGAAGCCCTTTCAAGTTTTGTAATTTAAATTGGTTTCAAAGTGTAATAGCTAAAGCACATAAATGGATCTTTTGGCTGATGGAATAAAATCACTTGCAGATGTACCGTTAAATGATGGGGCCCTGCTTTGCTGTCACTGTGGGTACATCTGTTGAAATGATCCAATGTAGTCTTTTCACAAATTATCACATACCTGCTCTGATTCAGGATAAATATTCAGTACTCATATCCTCTGGTAGAAGGAGACAACCTTTGTTTGTTTGTTTTAGATTTTGTCCCCCCCACCATAGACCTAATGGCTAACTGTCCATCAAGCATATGAACAACTATTTAACATATTTACAAATAAAATACCAATAAAACATGGAAATAAAGCAGAAAAACAGAAACAAAGCAATACAAGAGAACAAAGCAGGTAGCAAGCGTCCCATAGACGCAAAATACTGTACCAGTATTTGAGGGTGGAGGTGGAACTAGGTACAGTGGTGCCTCGCGTTACGGTTTTAATTCGTTCCAGCAAAATCGCTGTAGAACGAAAACATCATAAAGCGATTTTTAAAAGCCCATAGGAACGCATTAAACCCGATTAATGCATTCCTATGGGCTTGAAATTCACCGTCCAGCGAAGATCCTCCATAGCGTGGCCATTTTCGCTGCCCGTGCACCGAGTAATCCGTCCCAGAAAATAGCAGGCAGCTATTTTTTACCCGGTGGCCATTTTGAAACCACCGATCAGCTCTGCGAAAATCTTCGTTTTGCGATAATAGGTTAGCGAAGCAGGTAACCAATCATTGCAAAGTGAAAAAACTCCATAGGAAACATCGTTTTGTGATCGCTTTTGTGATCACAAAAACGTCTTCGTTATGTGATTTCTTCGTTAAACGAAGCGCTCGTCTTGCGAGGCACCACTGTATTCCAAGATATGGTTTTCTATGGCATGCATGCCCTTATTGAGAATGCTTTGTCCCATGTACAAAGTGCCCAGGAAATGGCAGGATATTTTAAGCATGCAAATGTGTTTGCTATAGTAAATGCAATACAGTATACATAGTATATTGTTATAGTATAGTATACAATTTAAACGCATAGTAAAAGATTTACGTACATCTGACATCACCGTATCACATATCAGGCTAGCTGCCAGGGTTCATGCATTTGAGCAAGGCTGACTGGAGTTGATCTGGACTGTCCTTGGCACGCCTTGACATTTCTTTCTCAGTATTGCTAATGCAACCTTCCATCATATTAGTCTTACCCATCAGTGCAGGTATTGGTTATGGTATGGCTGTCAGTTATCTTCTCCCTTATGGAGGCATACAGGGCAGCATATGGTTTGGGGGATATATGATGACATGGAACAGTCTTGCAACATATGATAATATGGAGGCACTCCATTATCAATCAGAAACAAGCAGTCATCTGAGTGCCCCCAATTTCTGGCAGTGGGCCTGCACTCATAATCCTTGTTGGGGTGACTGAAACCTGGGGCTGGAACTAGTCATCTAAAGCTATCTGGACATTTGAGATTTGAATGACTTCTATTAAAATAAATCTAACAACTCCTACTTCTTAAAAGTATATTCAGTTTTTATAAAATAATTGTAGGCTGATATCTACATAATCCGTAATGTAAAGAGACCCATGATAATTCATGATCATTAGAAAGGTGGAGCAGAGAGAATACAAGTATGGTTTCCCACAAACTTGTATCTATTAATCGGTTTAGAGCTCTCCTTGAAGACAAAATGTCCAGCAGGTGTTAGGGCCACCAGCACAGGAAAGTTAAGTCTGGAGTGATTTCTTTTGGCAGCCAAAAGCTTCCTCAAAGGGAACTTGTAGAGACACCAAACAGTGCCTTGATTGCAACTGTGCTTAGCCTGAGAAATAACTGATTTTCTGTGACAGAGGGAATACCCTTCTTCTGCCCTCTTCTAATAAGAGATCAAGGTGCTTAAGCTAACAAGACACAGATGACCTACTCTCCCACTTAACACACTCAAGTTTCAGGTTTAGCTCTTGTTGAGTTATCTTAGCTGTCACTAGATAATTTATGTGCTCATACCCAGATTGGCATGCTTACGCCATGCCATGATTTTGTACCAGGCTGCTAAAATGAATACTATGTTTAGCACAGTCCTCAAAAACATTATTTGCATATATAGTTTTAAAGAAACACACAAAAATCGTTAATTTTTTTAAGATAGATTACCAGCTACTACAACATTTAAGAAGTACTGTTACGTTGGGAGTAAAAGAGACCTCACACCAATACTGTTTTTTTTTCATAATTATTGGATGTGTATATGGGAAGGATGTAAGAATTTACTCAAAAGACATTCTTAACAATATGCTAAATAGGAACCTCAACCCTTGTTATAGAGAAAGGCAGTCAATGAGATATAATCAGATCCATTTCTGACCAAGGGAAACTCCAAGTCTGCTACTTTAGTGTTTCTTTTGTAACATGGAAAATCCTTCTTTTTCTGCTTGCATGTCAGCAAAAGAAGAAGTCTTATTTTTGTGAGAATTCATAAGTTGTAGGAGAGGGAATGGACAAAAGATGCAGATTTCTAAAATTCCTGTTTTTTCAGATTCATGAATGCATGCATCATAGACAGAGAGCTCATTATTTTAAAACAAGAGCAATATGTATATTTTGATCTTGTGTCTGTAAATCTTAAGAATGTTTTATAATTTTTTGTTTATTTTTTTTTTAAGTGTTCTAAAAAGCAAATTTGAGACAGACATAAAATTGCCGAGATTGTTGAAATTGTTGAGTTCTGCAATGGAAGAGCAATAGATGCTTTTAAAACTATTTTGTATTGTTATGGAGGTTCTCTTTTATTTATGTATTCTGCAAGTTAGCTTAAATATCCATTAAGAGGGAAATGGACAGTATTTTTTAAAAAAGCAGAGAAATGGAGAGTCAACCTGAATTATTGCCACTTGATCAGTTTATCAGAATAGACTGGAAACTATGAGAAGCTCTCAACTAACAATAGTGGATTTACAGTATGCTGTACTAACATATATAAAAGATGGATAGCTGGAGCACTGGGGGTCATGAGTTTAGCTCCCCACTATGCCTAGAAGATGAGCCAGCCTCTGTGTCCTTGGGTAAGCTACAGATTCCCAGAATGGACCTAGTAGAAGGGACTGGTAAGCACTGGCAAGCATTTCTAAGTACCTTTTACATAGAAAATCATGAAAAGGGTTGCCAAAAATCAGGATCAACTTGACAGCACACAGTTATTGTTTACTGTTAATATGCACACATGTGCGCACACACACACACATTGCAGTCTTTTCCTTTCTATGCCAATATTACTGGCAGTGATAAATTGCCTGTTTTTATGCCAAAAGAAATACAAATGACAAGTCTTACCCAAAAGCTCTGTATCAAAATGTTTGGGATTTAGTTTCTGTTAACGTTAAATCTAACTATTAAAATATCAATTGAGAGAAAATTTTCAGGTTAATGGAAATTCTTCGAGTTGTGTACAATATCTAAAATCTGAGTCCTGTTTTCTATCAACTCTAGACTGACAATAGTATTTCTCTGCATCTGCTCTGCCCACATTACAAGCTGACGTCATTCTGTAGATATGTCTGGGGGCTGAAACCTCTTTATAAAATATGAAAATTTTTATTCCCCTCCCCCCAATGCCAAGTTGGATATGGTATCCAGCTGTGGATCTGCTTATGTATTGTGTTTCCATTTTCCTTTCAGACAGTATATGGCAATCTGTAGTTATATTCTGTGATTAATGCTTACTTACAAATCCTTGTGTAAGTACCTCAGCATTGGCTCAAACGATGTGGAAGTTGTAAAAAATATTTCTAAATATTCAAATGATGTATCCCAGAAGATTGCTCAATAAAATGTAGGCTATTTCTCTGCTTATCCATAACAATTTAATATCTGCCATGGAAATCAAATTATTCTACATTTGACAAATAGATTGCTTTTCTTTGTGATTTATGGAATTTCTGCAAGTTTGCTTGCTAGATTGCATATAAGCATATAGCTTGCATATGTATAACTAGTTCAGATACTGCGGAAAAAGTTATTAATTTGTTATTTATTTTATCTACAACTTAAATTGTAGAAGGTAAACAATAGAAATTCTGTGTTTCGTATTCTTCAGGCAAAATCCTTTCCCCTAAATATCAGGATATTGTTTTTAATGGGGCAATATCATGTTAATGTACTTATATTATTAAATTTTAAATTCTTAATGAAGAATATTGATATTCATTTATTTGCTGGAATTAATTATCTTTTCCCTTCCTGACTTAAGGTGCAGTTGCTGTATGAACTAACAGATACAGTGAGCAAAGTCTGGAATAAGGTTCAAAGGAAAGGAGTCTTGCATCAGGCCCAGGCCTATACAGAATCTGTTTCAGGGCCTGCCCTTCCTAGTTCCCCTATTAAAAGCAGTGTTGGGACAGCTCCTCCAGATACCAGCACATGTAGTCCATCTGCCGACATTGGGACAACTACAGAGGTAATTAAAAATTATATTGGCATGTAGTAGTAATCTGGTATATAGAGGCTGGGAAAGTGACCAAGTAAAAATCAAAAGGATAAAAGATGCAAGTAACTGAACATGGATAAAGATTCAACAACTTCTCTAGCCTTGACCATAAGCATATAATCCATAAACATTTACTGAATCATGTTTGAAATTAAACCTTGGCAAAATAGAAAGAAGCCATATAAGCTTCAAATGTGAACATTATGTCTATGTTTGAACATAGTGGCTGTGTTCAAACATGATAATAAACAGCAGTTGATTGTCACAGGAGTAAGCCACAGTTGCCTTGAGCTCACTGATCCCCTTGCCCCCTCTGAAGTGCTGGAGATGAGGAGATCAGAAACTTTTGCTTCCATTTTTGCTTTTAGCAGTTCTCTCCAAACTATAAAATAGCCTTCCCAAAAGCCTTACCATCTAGACATATTGCATTACAGTCCCATCATTTTCCAGGCAGCTTGGCCAGTTCTTTCAAGTGTAGGTTTATTGTTTCAGGAGATGCCCAAGATCAACCAATTAGAGCCAAGTGCAGCAGACACTGAATTAAAGAAGAGTATTTCTGAGCACATGCTGAATCCAGGAATGTGTTCCCAGTATCAGAAATGAGCACTCCATAGTTTGTTTTCCACATGAATTATTTTTGTGTCATAGTAAGTTGCAGTTACAGTAGGCCCATTTGAATCAATGGAACTTACAGAGGAGTTGACTCACCAAATCCCCTTTGATTCAGTGAGCCTTCTCTGGTTCAGTTTATTACTCTAAGCCAGGGGTCCCCATCCCCTGATCTGCAGCCCAGTGCCGGTCCATGGGCTTCCTGGAACTGGGCCGTGGACACGAATTTCTGTTCCCCACACGCACGCATGATGGGCATGTTGCGCTAGTGGAGGGGCATGTCGTGCTCGTGGAGGGACATGTTGCGCTTGCGGGTGAGCATTTTGCACTCACACACGTGCATGAGCACAGCACGCCCCTCCACAAGCGCAACATGCCCCTCCACAAGCGCAACACGCTCACCCGCGGATGGAGCCTGCACCCCCCCAAGTGGTCCACAGTCCCAAAAAGGTTGGGGACCATTGCTGTAAGCAATAGAATTTTGGCCATTGCTTGTGGAAAGCAGAAAATCTTGCTTATGTACTGCAAGTCACCCAGAAATGTGCCAGTAGATTTAAGCCTACATTTTGTGCACCCAGACTTTTGCAGAAATAATGTTTAGGAGAACAAGAAACATTGGATGAGTTGATCCAGCTACCAAAATAGTTTGAACAACCAGGCCGAGGTTCAACATCTGTCTTACTCTTCCAAAAGATCTATGGAAGTTCCTTCTCAGACTCAGGGCTGTGAGCACTTAGGCAGATAATTTTAGAAAATAACTAGAGAACAATTTCCAACATTTCCCATCCCTTTCATGATCCCAAAACCTTCACTGTAGTAGCATCTTACATATAAAAGGACTTCTTGGATTCCACCAGAAGTTTCTTCACAACAGCCATTCTCAACAGAGGCATATGGTCTCCTGGAGAGCCCTGGCACATTTGAAGGGGACCACAGATTCCTTTTTTGACAGGGAGCCCTGGAAACTGAGAAGAGTTCTTGAAAGGGAACTCATTTTAAAAAGAAAAAAAAAAGGTTGATAATGGCTGCTTTAAAATATCTTTAAAAACCCAGTGGCAAGTACAGTGGTGCCTCGCTAGATGATGATAATCCGTTCCACTGAAATAGCTGTTTAGCGAAATTATTGTCTAGCGAAAAGCATTTCCCCATTGGAATGCATTGAAACCTGTTTAATGCGTTCCAATGGGGAAGAATTGTCGTTGTCTAGCAAAGATTGGCCATAGGAAAGCCGCTTTGCAAACTGATGATCAGCTGTTTAAATCGATGTCTTGCAAAGCTTAGGTCCCAAAAACACCTGTTTTGCGAGCACGGAGGGAGCTGTCAAAATCATTGTCTAGCGAAAATCGGTTTGCGAAGCAGGGACCAAACATTGTCCAGCGAAATTCCCCCATAGGAATCACTGTTTTGTGAATCACTATAACGATCGCAAAAACTCAATGTCTATGAAAAAAATTGTCATGGGGGGGGAAACTGTCTAGCGAGGCACCACTGTATTCCATTGCTACTGCCAAGTTCCACTCATCAACTCCAATAAATCAATTACTGATTTACCATTTAGCAGTTGATTAATTGGATCTGCCATCAAGTCAAGACTATGGATGGGACACTGGTCAGTGGATTATCTCTCCTTAGTTTGCTGTTTACAGGTGATGAAGTTACCTGCCATAAGAGGCTAGCTACATCCTGTTGTGTTTCTGCTAGCAGGTAAAGACCTTTTTATTCAGGCGGACTTTAGGCCACTGACTAGCTGTTCCGAAAAGGGCTTTTAATAAATTAATGCAGTCCTTTATTAAAACTGTGTTTTAAAAGTATTTTTTATGTAATAGTGTTTTAATGCCATAATTGTTTAATTGTGTTTTAATATTATATTTTTTTCTGGTTCTTTTTATCTGTGTGCATTTTTATATACTTTTCCTTGTACTTGCGTTTAACTTTGTCAGGCGCCATGGAGTCCCAATCCTGGGAAAAAGACAAGATGTAATCAAGAGTAACAAAAATGCTGGCAATGACAACAGTATAACAGCAGCAGCAGTAGTAATTATCTGTTGATTTGAATCTAGATTAGTTTACAAGTGGTCTAGAGAGTTTGGTCTAGTAGTGATAGGTTGGTGATTTTGTCTTTTCAATGGGTCAATAAGGCTGGTATTTGATTTGGACTCTGCTGGCTGTTTTGCATATACAGTGGACCCTCTACTTACGGCATTAATCCATATTGGAACGGTGGCTGCAGGTCGAAAAGTCTGTAGGTCGAGTTTCCATTCACCTACAATGCATTGAAAACCGATTAAACCCATAACCTGCCGTTTTTGTTCCATTTTTATTCCATTTTGGTTTTTTTCTGGTCTGTAGGTCGATTCTCTGGCTGCCCAGAGAAGTCTGTAACTCGAAAAGTCTGTAAGTCGAGCTGTCTGTAAGTCGAGGGTCCACTGGAAGAAGTTAGAGATCTAGCACAGTTCTGATTTGAGGAAGTAGCAGGGGAAGAAACAACTGTAGTTCAAAAATTGATGCTTGGAATTATTTAAGAAAGGAATCTGTGGCAAAATAGATTAAATTTAGGGACTATAAATCAGGACGTCTCAATTTCTCAAAAATGATTAACTTTTTTCTTACTCGATATTGTAAAGATTAATAGTATATATAGATGCATTAAGTGGAAGAATTTATTTCCTTAGGGTTTTTTGATATTCTAGTTATATTACAATTACTGGAATTTGCAAAGGTTTAACATTTCCTGGATGTATTTAGGTTATGGTCATACCATGGGACTACTTTGAAATTTGTTTCTATTTCGTTTAAATGTCTTTTGCCATGTACATTCAAGACTTAAACATTGTCAAATGAGAATACTGATATCCAGTGTGTAATTTTATTTTTTTAAAAAGTCGTTTCATCCATTCAGCTATAAAAGCATACTATTTCTCAGCTGGGCCAGAATAATTATTTTGAAAGGTTTTTTAGTTTTTCCAAGTGTACTAGATTTGCTATAAATGAAGGGGGGGTTGGAGGAATAGGGTAGTATGACCCTCTCCAACAATTGTTTGCATTAAAAAGCATATGGGGCATTTATTTGTACTATTCATAGATGATTTATACTTTAAGCTGTGAGTAATTATTTTTCATGCTGACAGTTTGATAGGGAGTGGTGCAGTTTTGTGTGGGTAAAACTATCAGAATTCCTGAATTGCAAGCTGGGTGGTTGTTGAGGATGGAAACATGAGTGAGAGGCTTAAGTACCAGGGCTTAGAAACAGTTAATCATTTTTACCACCTCTACATTGAAGCAAAGGTAGTACAGACTACAACAGGCCACTTGTTACTGTTTGCTTAAGTACAAACAGTTGAGGAAGTGTTTAGTCCTTGGGGAAGCTGAATGATTGAATAGAAACACAGAAGTTATTTTGATAAGGCAAAGCAGTAATTTGTCCCAAGCTCTGATCATCCCTGAGCTTTAATGCAGGCCAAGGATGAAGGCCTTACATGTTTGGTTCTTCCAGATGAATAAATTCTTCTAGGAAAAATAAACTCAGCATTTTGGGTCAGTTTGCAAGAACTGGCAAAAGAATTAACCTGTATATTTTCAGATTTGGCGTGAAGAGTGGTGGGAAAGGAGTTCAGTCTTTTAAATTCTGGCACTATTTCTATAAATTTGGATGCAAAGTACAAAATAATGTTTAGATTTACTGAACTATACAGCATAAAAAATAGTTTCTTCTCAGAGTTCCTAACATTTTTATTGGAACAGTGTATTTCTAAGCATTAAAACCTCCTTTAAAAATATCGAACATTGGCTTAAATTCTGTTGTACAGTTGCACAAATGACATCACCGTTAAACATGAATTGCAATAGCTGAAGAAATCTCTTTAGGCATTATCTGTTGAACACTGAGTTGAACAACTCTGTGTGCAACAGATGTCTACAATGATTTCATAATTTACAACAGTTTGCTCCCGAAAGTTATACTTTTTGCATAACTGCACAACAGGGTGTCAGCCACTGTTTAATCTTTAAAGGAAGTTTTAATATGTACAAATCAACAGTTCTGCCATTGTAATATAGTACCTTTCTTAGTTTATCCCCGAGTATATGACAAGTTGCAGTTGAGATGAACTGTTTGGCACCCTTCTTGGAACTTATGATATTCGGATAATCAGTTTCAAGAGAATGAATTGAATGGGAAGCTGTTAATGTGAAGTGCCTGCCTTCGTGATTCACACATGAAGTCATGCCAACAAAATCCTTCTTGGAGATGCTTTCTTTTGGGGGGATGGGTCAAAATTGCCCGAACTAAGTTGGGAACAGGTAATAAATATGGTTAATTAATATTCATCATCTAAAAAATCCCTGGAGCTTCCAAAAAAAAGAGGATAAATTTCTGCTTCTAGGAAACACGTGCAAATCAGATTCCTGGCAGCAGTAAATATTCTAATCTTTCCAACCTAAAAATGCAGAGGTGCTGGTAAAGGGAATTATTACTGATGGTTGTTGTGCGTTTTTTGGTCTGTTTTGCCATTTTCTGAAGGTTGTTCTTCCTAACGTTTTGCCAGTCTCTGTGGCCGGCATCTTCAGAGGGCAGGAGTCAGAACTCTGTCTGTGCTCTAGTGGAGTTTGTTTGGATAGTCGAATATTTATAGCTGTGGGATCAGCTTTTGTCCTTTTCAGGAGATGGGTGATTGTGGTGATCAGCGTGTTTTTTGTTGTGGGTGTATTGTTGTGATAAGAGGGAGGGATTATCTGTCACTGTGATTGATGAGTGTCGCTATCTGGTCTTTTGTGTGCAGTTATCACAGGTCATTGTGCCTGGGTAGAGTTCGTTGACCTTTTCCAGGCTGTATTTTTCAGTGCTGGGAGCCAGGCTTTGTTGAGTTTTAGACTTTCTTCTTTTTTGTTGAAGCTCTGCTGGTGTTTGTGGATTTCGGTGGCTTCCCTGTGCAGTCTAACATAATGATTGCTGGTGTTGTCCAGTATTTCAGTATTTTGAAATAGAATTTCGTGTCCAGCTTGTTTTAGGGCATGTTCAGCTATGCTGATTTTTCTGGTTGTTTTAGTCTGCAGTGTCTCTCATGTTCCTTGATTCTGGTGTGGATGCTTCGTTTTGTGGTACCAATATATACGTGGCCACAACTGCATGGTATCCGGTATACTCCTGCAGTGGTGAGGGGGTCCCTTCTGTCTTTTGCTGACTGTAACATTTGTATTTTTTGGGGTGGGCTTGAATACTGTTTGTAGGTTGTGTTTTTTCAAAAGTTTCTCCATGCGGTCTGTGACCCCTTTGATGTATGGCAAAAATACTTTATTTGTGGGTGGCTGTTTTTCTTCTTCTGTTTGGTGTTGTTTTCTTGGTTTGATGGCTCTTATGATTTCATTTTTGGAATAGCCAAAGGGTAGGGTCCAATTCAGATGGCTGAGTTTGGTGCTGAGAAATTCAGCTTCACAGTTCCGATTTGCACAGTCCACAAGTGTTTTGATCATGCCTCTTTTTTGATGTGGGTGGTGGTTGGAGTATTTGTGTAGGTACCAGTCTCTGTGTGTGGGTTTTCTGTAGACCTTGTGTCCCAATCGGAGGCCAGTTTTCCGTAGGACCATGACATCTAAGAATGGGAGTTGGCCCTCTATTTCTTTTTCCATGGTGAATTGTATATTTGGGTGGATGCTGTTGAGATGGTTTAGAAATTGTTCCAGTTTTTTTTTATTATAGTTCCAAATTGTGAAGGTGTCATCCACATATCAGAACCAGACTATGGGTGCGAAGGGTGCCGAAGCCAGGGCCTGTTTTTCAAAATGTTCCATGTAGACGTTTGCTGTAACTGGGCTTAGGGGGCTCCCCATGTTATAGCAAACTTCTACATGGAACATTTTGAAAAATAGGCCCTGGCTTCAGCACCCTTTGCACCCACAGTCTGGTTCCGATATGTGCATGACACCTTCACAATCACAGTGGCTGGTGAAATGTTAGGAAGAACAACCTTCAGAACACAGCCAAAGAGCCCAAAAAAAACCACAACAACCATCAGATCCCAGCCCATCACCTCCTGTCAAATAGTAGGGGAAGATATGGGGGCAGTGACAGATTTTACTTTCTTGGGCTCCATGACCACTGCAGATGTTGACAGCAGCCACAAAATTAAAAGACGCCTGTTTCTTGGGAGGGAAATGATGACAAACGTAGACAGCATGTTAAAAGCAGAGACATCATCTTGCTGACAAAGGTCCACATAATCAAAGCTATGGTTTTTCCAGTAGCGATGTATGGAAGTGAGAGCTAGACCATAAGGAAGGCTGACCACCAAAGAATTGATGCTTTTGAATTGTGGTGCTGGAGGAGACTTTTGAGAGTCCCCTGGACTGCACAGAGAACAGACCTATCCATATTGAAGGAAATCAACCCTGAGTGCTCACTGGAAGGACAGATCCTGAAGCTGAGGCTCCAGTACTTTGGCCATCTCATGTGAAGAGAAGACTCCCTGGAAAAGACCCTGATGTTGGGAAAGTGTGAGGGCAAGTGTAGAAGGGGACAATAGAGAACAAGATGGTTGAACAGTGTCATTGAAGCTACCAACATGAATTTGACCCAACCCCAGGAGGCAGTGGAAGGCAGGAGGGCCTGGCGTGCTCTGGTCCATGGCATCACAAAGAGTCAGACACTACTTAACAACAACAACAGTTGGCACTTAAATTGAAATCAAGTGATGTAACTGGTTACAGGAGGAAAGGAACCTTGTTAAGAAGCAACGTAGGAATATTCAATTATATATTGATATACTTGATAAAGTGGATTAAAGAACATGCTATGCCTAACAGTAAATAAGCTAGCACAAATCGTATTAAAAGTTGTATTAAACATGCTGTGGTAGTGGTGTTTCACCCAGAAGCACCTAAAAATATTCTTGTGAGACTCAAGCTTGACATTATGCTGATTCTTTACTGACAGAGTCAAGGACCAATTTTGCTCTTCTACTGATAAAAAGACTCCCATCTGCATTGTCAGGAGGGCATCAGTTTTCTTCCTCTCAACAGTCTCCAGTGTGCCCCTCAAAATCTCCTTTGAAAAGCAGAGATATTCTACAGAGCAGTGAGTTGCAGGGGGATAGGGCCATGGAGGAAGTCCTGGTGTGGACAGCTACTTGTGTGATGTTGAATTTAAGCGTATTCGCGAAGGCTGTCACAGCCAGGATCTAATGGTTGTTGTGGATTTTTCTGGCTCTTTGGCCATGTTCTGAAGGTTGTTCTTCCTAACATTTCACCAGTCTCTGTGGCCGGCATCTTCAGAGGACAGCACTCTGTGCTCTGGTGTAGTTTGCTTGGGAGTGGAGTATTTATGGCTGAGAGATAGGCTTTTGTCCTATTCAGGAGATGGGTGATTAGTGTGTCTTGTTGTGGGTGTATTGTTGTGATATGGAGGAGAAATTATCTGTCACTGGGATTGATGGGTGTCATTAGCTGTGCTACTCCTGTCCTCTGAAGATGCCGGCCACATAGACTGGCGAAACGTTAGGAAGAACAACCTTCAGAACATGGCCAAAGAGCCGGAAAAACCCACAACAACCATTGAATTTTAGCCTTTCATGGATTTTCTGGCAAAATATATACAGTTCTTTTCATAGTGTACAGTTGCATCATGAAAATCATGTAGACATATTTAAAAACTTATTTCTGGCCCTATGTTTTTCCTGATATTCTAGCCAGCCATACTATTGTAATTTTAAGGGACATAGTATAATGTCTAAATATAGAGAGGTGGTATGTATAAAATTAGTTCTTGTCCTTAACAGAGTGGGACATTATTCGTAAGATGGGGGAAAGGATAAATGGTAGTGTGTGCACCCCTTGCAGACTTAAGTTGACCTAGATCAGAACGTAAACATCACATACTGAAGAGAATTTCACCATTATGCAACACATTGATACTGTGGTTCAAAAGTTTCAGAAATGGAATGGGTATTTGTAGAAAAAAATATACATAGGGCTGAGCGTCCACCATATAAAATATAATTCCTTCCCAAGTTAATCCATCTTTAACGAAGTATATTCTTGTGCAAATGAGGTGGCTACAACTGACAGTCCAAGGCCAGCCCAAAGTTCCCCATGTCCTCCACGGGGAGTCAAATATGGCTTCTATTCCGGGAGACCTCCTGTAGTAGAAGTTTACTTTGAGACATGGGGAGGCTCATGCCTCCCCTGAACAAAAGTGAAAACTGGAAGTGGTCTGTTAATTTTTCTTTTTTATTTCTTGATCTTTTTTTTGCCATTTCTGGACCTAGTGTAGCCCATGGTGATTACTAGGGGTGCACATTCACCACTTGCCCACTCTGTAGCATATATTTGCTATAGGAAATTATATACAGTACTTCAAAATATATTACAGTGTGAGAGGTAGCCAAGAACATTCATGAATTTCATTCATTTTGGTTTGTTTCTTGTATTTTGTTTCCTTGTTAGGGTGAATCTGTGCAAGGAGGTGATGATTCTCCATTCTCAGACTCTGTTACATTGGAACAAACAACCAGCAATATTGGCATAGCAAGTGGACGTGTTAGTTTATGGATGCAGTGGATGTTGCCAAAGCTCACTGTGAAGCTGTTTGCACCAGATCCAGAAAACAAAGGGACAGGTATTGGACAAATTAAAAATAAAAAAAATAAAAGCAATGGCCAGAACTTGCAGGGCAGTTTTGCTGTAACACTGATTTCATTTTATAAAAGTTATTTTATTTTTATTTGTTGTATATGTGAATACGGAAGTCAAATGCTGTAATGAAGGCTTAGGGCAAGTTGCAGTCAAAATGATGGTGGAAAACAGATACTTCCCCCACTTAAATATCAAGATATCTATGGCTACCAAAATTAAAATCTTAACTATTTAACCAACCTCTAATTATTTTTCCATAGTGCACTTTGGTGCACCATTTCATCTTTCTCTGATAGGCATATAAATAGCCTTTACCACCTTTCCAACAATGGCCATTTTGACAGTTGGCAAACCTAATATGGTTAGGCAGCCTTGATTACAGGCCTTTCTCATGTGGTTAGCCAGTTCCTTGGCACCTGCTGGTTTGTCACAAACAAGGGAGAAATAGCCCCCCCCCAGTCTGTTAATGCAGAGAAACAAAGGGAAGCCTGAATTCCCCAGTGCAACATATCAGTGAGTGAACATGAGTGAAACAGCATTTCCATCACCGCAGTCGCACTCTAATTTTAAAATAGGAGATAGAGGTTGCTTTTGAATACAAATCCTGTGTTGTGTGGCTCCTTAAGTTGCTTATCACGTTGGTGGTAGAGAACTTGAAATTGAGATAAAATATAGCATTTCTTATGCCTCTAAGACAGTGTCTATGTTTTTTTGATGGGATATGGGTTGAAACTAACAACTGATTTTCATTGTACACTTCAGAGATTTGTGTTGTTGGTGAATTAGAAGACCTGAGTGCCTCAGTAGATGTACAAGATGTCTACACTAAAGTAAAGTGTAAGATAGAAAGCTTCAACATTGACCACTACAGAAACAGGTAACAAATAGAACCTATGTGCATTATGTATTCATTAAAGTAATGCTAATCAATGTATTTGCAAAGGCTTTCACGGCCGGGATCTAATGGTTGTTGTGGGTTTTTCGGGCTCTTTGGCTGTGTTCTGAAGGTTGTTCTTCCTAACGTTTCACCAGTCTTTGTGCTGTCCTCTGAAGATGCCGGCCACAGAGACTGGCGAAACCTTAGGTAGAAAAACCTTCAGAACACGGCCAAAGAGCACACAAAACACACAACAACTAATGCACTTTTAGTAACACTACTTTATTTGAAGAGGGGAATGCACAGATTTGAAATGAAATTGCTGCACTTAATTTGCGCAAGTGAATTACATTGGCTGTAATTTGAAATTCATACAAAACGTGACAATACTGTATGCATCTTGTCAGTTTCTGAAGATCTTATATGAAGATGTGCCTTCATAGTCTTCTGAGAGGAAGCTTAAGGTTACTGCTTTCCAGCTAGTCTAGGATTAGGCAGCAGTGTCCCTTTGATGTTGCTGGAATGCAGTTCCCGTTAACCATTGCTAGCATAGCTAATGGTGATGGATTATGATGTTTGTAGTCCAACAATATATAAAAGGACAGAGTAGTCTGCTTCTTTATTGTTTCTTCCATACTTTTAGTCAAAGTATCTATCCTGTTTCCCCCAAAATAAGACCTAACCTGAAAGTAAGCTCTGGTATGACTTTTCAGGATGCTTGTATAAGTCCTACCCCAAAAATAAGCCCCAGTTAAGTGAAACCCCACCTTCCACAATTGTGCAGCATTGTACAGCAACCAGAAGAAGATGACATTGCTGTATTTGAATAAATGTAGATAGTTGTACATGAAAAAAATAAAACATCCCCTGAAAATGAGCCCTAATGCGTTTTTTGGAGCAAAAATTAATATAAGACCCTTTCTTATTTTCGGAGAAACACGGTACTTCATCATAAGAATCTGGATTCCTTATTTTTTAAAAAATGTTTTGAATGTTTGTCGTAGATTTTCCTTTCCAGGTTCTAGTGTCATATTTAGGGCTGACAAATTTCCAAAATTTTATGAATACTCAATTTTAGAATACTATGTCATTTGGGGGAAAAAGCTGAATGAACAAAAATTGATAAAGGTTTTTTCTAATTCATTCAATAAATCTAGGATAAGCATATGATCTCTGAGAAAAACAAAGAAAAATATCCTTGAATTCTCGAAGGCTTTCACGGCCAGGATCCAATGGTTGTTGTAGGTTTTTTGGGCTGTTTGTCCATGTTCTGAAGGTTCAGAACTGTGTCTGTTCTGACTCCTGGCCTCTGAAGATGCCAGCCACAGAGACTGGTGAAATGTTAGGGAGAAAAACTTTCAGAACATGGCCAAACAGCCCGAAAAACCTACAACAACCAAAAATAGCTTTATTAAAAAATTGGAAAGATATATGCTGCTAAAAGAGGCAACATGCTCATATATCTGTAAAACAAATGTAATAGCAGGCATTATATAATGTGAAGGAAAGGGAAGCTCAATTTTTGTGAGATGTCAACACAAAGCTTTATGAGAATATTCATCAAATGAAATGATTTCTGATTTGGCCCCAAATAGTCAAAAATCCTAATGTAACAATTTTCTTTAAATCATTCCACAACATTGATTTTATTTCCATTCCCCTTGCAGCTCTCTTTTGATTCAGTTCATTTTCCTCCTTTACACTTTTAAAAATTATTTTCCTGTCTCGGTTCTATTTTATGAGCATTAGATGGTAAGATCAAAGTCTGGTTATTAGACTACCTAACCATTGCAACTTGCCACAGTTTGCTGTGGTCCACACAGTCAAAGGCTTTTGCATAGTCAATGAAGCAGAAGTAGATATTTTTCTGGAACTCTCTGGCTTTCTACATAATCCAGTGCAAGTTAGCAATTTGGTCTCTAGTTCCTCTGCCTCTTCGGAATCCAGCTTGTACTTCTGGGAGTTCTCGGTCCACATACTGCTGAAGCCTACCTTGGAGGATTTTGAGCATAACCTTGCTAGCGTGTGAAAAACCATTGCAACAGCTCTCTTGCCTGGTGTGTGGTGTGAGGAAAGATTTGTGAACTGAATTTATTTTTTTAATCTCATCCCCCACCAGCAATTTCATCCCATGCTAATTGTCTGTCTGTATAAATGTAGTCCCTTTAATTAAAACTTATTTTGTATATTCCTCCAAAAGATATCTACTTATACATTTAGACTTATGATAATCTTTCCCCAAGCTTCTTTTCCTTTTCCCTGCTTTCCTAGGTAGTCTAATCTACCAGCTGACATCTTATATAATATGTTGACAATAATCACTAAAATTTGCTCTTTTGCTTTTTCCCCTGTTCAGGTATTAAATTTTAAACAATATCTGTTGTGTGTAGCTATGTTTGTGGGATTAGTAGCAACATCCTGCAATTAAGAAGATATCTGTTGTAGTTTGTGTCACTCTGCTCCTTCTTAACTTTTCTTTAAGACACTGTTGCTGCACGTGCTATATTGTGTAGAATCAATGCTCCATGTCATGTTTTCCAGTGGTGAATTTGAAAATTGGAGTGGCAAATATTGAAAAGCCACAATCTTCAAAATCCTTTGTTGAAAATATTCACATGAAGGAAAGCAGCTTGAATTGTTAAATCTACAACTCAAAACACTAATGAGTGCATTTTAAATTGTTCAAACTCTAATTTTCATGTGGTTGAAAAGCATAGAACCTGCTGCAGAGAATAGATAAGTTAACGTTATGTTTTCCAGACCAGGAGAAGGCTGGCAATCTGGACTTTTTGAAGGCATATTTCTGCAATGCAAAGAAAAGCCTGTGGTGAGATTTCTGTAGTGGAATAAGACATTTAACCCAATAACTATCCTAAAAATCTAAACATTACCTTTTTCTCATATAGAATGGAGAAGGATTGCAAGAATGATAGTTTAAACCACAATTTTTAAAGTCAGTTTGTCCTTATGGAAGACAGAGGGAAATCACTTTAGCACAGTTGTTTTGTTTTTTTCTAAAGTTCCTCCGTTCTTGCAGTCCACCTCCTTCCATTCTAATAAAGCTTCTATTTCTGTTCATAATTAAAAACAAATCAAGTGATGCAAAGTTGTTATGGAGAACCTTGCTCTACTTTAATTTCTGACAAATCTCCTGCTGAGTTGCTGATTCTAATAATAAAACTCTTTTGAAGTTCATTATTTCAGTTTTTTATTTAAATTGTGATATTTGAGGTGCACGTTTGACTTGCATCTGCAGTGTACCATGGCAGAATTCAGCTTAATATAAATGCCTACTTTTTTTCCTTATGGCCTTGTTTTTGTTTTTTGTTTTGCTTCTTCTTTTTTTGCCTATATCAACTCAAGCTTTGGGGAAGACTCTTGGTCTCTGGGGAAATGTGGAGGTGTCTTCCTTTCCTGTACTGACAAGCTGAACAGACGTACATTGTTGGTTCGACCCGTCAGCAAGCAGGACCCTTTCAGTAACTTCTCTGGCTTCTTTCCCTCTGTAAGAAATCAGTACTATATATATATATACTGTATATATTTTACAGAACTTCCATGAACAAACGGTATGATGGTGATAAAAGAGAACTGTGTACCCATGAGACTATTTATCTGTATTATTTAAAAGAAATATATATATATATTCTATTTCCCAGTGGCTTCTGGAAATAATTATGCTTTGTATTCTCATGAAAAAAGTAAATAAAGGAAAAATACTCACTTGAACATTTGTTTTAAGAACCTGTCCCTGGAAAATTAAGGGGAGTACTTGTATGTTTCAACCTCCTCATTTGGGTTCTGTAAAAGCTAAAGTTATACAGTATAAGCTAACAGTTACAGTAAGGGTGGGAAACATGTTATCTTCCAGATGCTGGTGAACCAGTTTCTTATTCAGCGTCTCTGTGCATCACACATACGGGTTCTTGCACCTGCAGAGAACAATTCTTGGAATATTCCAGAACTGAGTAGCCTTCAAAAGTTTTGAACCCCCACACTCTATCTCACATGCATTCCCTAATGGCTCCTCCACTGCACTGGCAACCCCCAAGAGTGTTCCGGAGAATTTCTTGCCTTCCAAAACTCACATAAAATGGAGTAGCCTACTTTTGTTCCTTTTCTTTGTTTTGGTACTCTTTTTTATCTTAAAAGTAAGTGGATATTATTTCATTGTTGTTTTTCCATGTGGTTTTCCACCTTTATGGCCCTAGTGGCCTTATTTGCTGATCTTCTTCTGAAATTCTTAGCCAGCAGATATTCGCACTATAATTTTGAGTGCCTCTTCCTTTTAAAAATCCAGTTTTAACATCAAGCATTTCTCGCTCTATATAAGGTAAAAGGCTTGGTTTCAACTTACTCAAAGTGATGCTCATCTCCTTGCTTAGGAACTGGAATTTATATTGAGTGTTTCCTGTCTGTGGGCTATTGTTTTGTTTTCCATATTTATTGACATATTCTTATTAGGGTTTGGTAGATTCAGTCTCTGTGGCATGAAACAGTTCTATTGGTATTCCATCTATCCCTGGTGATTTATTTCTTCCTAGTGCTTTCACAGCAGCTTTCTCCTCACTTTCTAGAAGTGCAGGTTCTTCATCATAGGCTTTGCCTTCAAAAGAGTTTGTCATCCTTTTGTTCCTTCTGTACAGGTTTTCAATATACTGTTTCCACTGTCTCTTAATTTTCTTCTGATCAAATAGTATGCTTCTCTATTGGTCATTCGGCATTCCTAGTCTAGGTTTGAATTTCCCTTTGATTTCTTGAATTTTCTGGAAGAAACATCTGCAGTGTTTATATGTTCCATATCTTGCTTTACGATTTCTACCTTCCATGTTCCAATGGTATGTGTTGTACAGCTTTGGACCTTTCTTTGCCCTTCCTTAGGAGCTGGTTGAATGCTTTCTGACCTGGGAGTCTCATCCTCCAGTCCTATCTCTTGTTTCATTTTGGACTGTTTCATCATAGGGTTTTCGTAGTAAGGAAAATTCTTCAGAAGTTTACCATAGCCACTTACTGCACAGTATTAACAAAAGTTAGTTTGAGTGTCACCATTGTTGCCTCCTCCACCAGTGTCGCTTTCAACTACTACTATTGCCTAATAGCTGCCTTGAAGAGGGTGAATACTAATAGGATCCACTTCTTCAGTCTCGAGTTCTTTCACCATTAGCTTCTCATTTTCTGTTTCTTAATCTTCCTCCTTGCTATGAATACTACCTGGTAGAGCACTTGTTGTTGCCTCCTGAGATGTTCTCCTTCGAGGTTCTGATGCAGGAAACTACACCATATAATAGTCAAAATGAGAAGGATAGAATAAATGATACTTTGATTACACCATGCCAGCTGTGGTTTGTAATCCTACTTCTGTTCCCTGACAGATTACCACTTAACTGAACCTTCTGACTTGTCACAAGAGGTGTGTATATCAAACTGACTACTTGGAGGATCCTTCCATATGTAGAGTCCTCTATGAATCAAGAAAGACATCTGCAAAGTGCCCTGACATGTATACATGGAACAGATTGTGCAAGTTCTGTCAGTGAATCCTGTAGCCCAGCTTTGTTGCAGACTGCTCTGCATTTTTTCCTTCATCCAAAAAGAACTGGGCTTTCACAATCTCCCTCAAAGTACTTCTTGCATCTTTTGCACTATATCAACCAGGCAGGTCTTCACGCTCTTGATTTTCAAACCTGATGCTTAAAAGATTTTTAAGGAGACTGAACAATATATGTCCTGATGTTAAGCCTTCCATTCCTTCATGGTCACCATAAGCGGTAATAGCAGAGTTGATAAAGACTCCTTTTGAGCCCATAGTAATGACTGCTCTCTATTTATTGCTTTAAAAATGGTTTTCTTGATGGCCATAACATCAGCTAGGAAGAAGAGTGAGCTATGTACTTTAATACAAGATCCACATTTCTTGCACTTTTGTAAATAAAAGGTTACTCAGTACCCAGATATTACTTTCCTACCATATATTTTATCCCAGTTGTACACCAGCCAACCATTAATACTCTCTTGTCTTTACTCCTCTCCAAGAGAAGTCCTTGCAAGCTCTGAACATTAGGTTAGCAAACTAGTAAGTCACCAATATGTATGATACACAGAGACCACTAATAAGAAGGAACTGTAGTTTTTCACATGTATATCTCTGAATTCAGATCACCCATCCTGCTCCCATCTGTCTACTGTGCTTATACAAGTTTAGTACTGGGCAGCAGTTGGAGGGGAATTGAGGAATTGGGGAGTGCCAGAGCATGCACAGTAGACAGTGGGGCTGTAGAAACCTCCTGAGGTGAATCATCTCTGAAATCCTCTTGGAATCATTCTATACAGGCAGAAGAATGGCTAAGTATCATTCACAGATAGCTACTCAAAAGCAAACAGCCTGTCCTTCCATCATCCCTTGTGATTGACTATGCTAGATAGAGCTGATGTGAGCTGCACACAGCAAAGGCTAATTGAGTTAAACCTACCTAACATTTTGTCCATTCCATGCATAAGAAACTGGCTTCTGGCTTCTTTCTGGATAATAGTTTTGGAGAGCTCATAATTGCTCATTGCCTTCTGAAATTTTAACTGGTCTTAATAAATATTTCTGTGGCATTTTGGGGGGATTTGAAATAGGCACTATATAAACATTGATTGCTACTTCAAACACTCACTGTTTTCCGTACCAAAATCTGAACTTGGTGTGGGTCTCTAATATGAACGCACTTTTCCCCCTCTGAGAAAAAAACAAGTGAATGTTTAATTTTGCTCAAGTTTTTGGAAGTTCTGTTCTGTTTGATTTTTTTTCCTGTCAGAAATGTGTACACTCATAATTACTATAGCCGCTTAACAGTTGTTTCATTCTAACACAAATTAAGCTAATTTACTAATACATTACAATTTGAGTCCTGTAACCTTCTGCTTTCAGGATTTAAAAAAAAATGTTTTACTTAGACATTAATTTAAAATGTAAACAAATAATCCAGTCATATTATGTTAATATTAAAGGAAAATTTCCCAATTGACTATACAGAAGCTCCAGTGCCTCCGCACAGCTCGTGTTTGCGCAAGGGTGTAGCTATTAATTGGCAGGATACTGTCATTTTCATCCATAAATGGAGCTGCTGCCCAAACGTAAATGAATGGAGGAATTCAAGGAGATAGAAGCTGTATAGATCTATAGATTTGACACCGTTTAATGCACATGGTATTATACTGTTGGATTTGGGCCAAACTTCAGTCTAGGATGTGTGAGTTAACTGGCTAATCCACACCCACTGCCACTTCCAGTGATGACCACTCTGCTTTTTACAAGAACAGATGAAATATGTGAATTTTCCCTTTAAAAGTAATGTCTACTGTTTGACTATTGTTTAGTATAAAGTGTAGTATCTAAAACAGATCCTTCTTCAGTTAGACACATTTTGAACATACTGTACAGTAGTCACCTTATGAGGTGGGTGGAGCCCATGGGTGTAAACTTTCCCATGGTTTGTTTTTTGGTTCTCTGAACCAGAACAAAGTCTTAAATTCTGAAACTATTCTGAAGGTAATAGAAATTTCATGAATAATCAGAGATGAATTTTTTACAGAGCCATGATTCAAAAATTTACAGTTTTTGTTCTGATATCCAAGGAAATGGCGAACTGCAGTGGATGTAATCAGACATGAATCACAATTAAAGAGTTAATTCACAAAAGTGTTCATAACTGTTGCAGGGTACATACAAATTGCTCAGTTCTGTCCATTTATATATTTCTTTTCATAGGCAACTGCAAAACTTTTGGATGGTTCTCATCAGCAGCATGGCTTTCTCTCCCTGACTTACACAAAGGCAGTCACAAAAAATGTCCGCCACAAACTGATCTCAAGAAATGAACGAAGAACTTTTCAGAAATTATCTGAAAGTTTCATTGATGGTTCCCCTCATTTCCTTCATGAGATTCTTCTTTCAGCTCAGGCATTTGATGTTGTCCTCTGTTTTCCTTTTCTTAATGCAATTGCAAGCATTTTTCAAGCCAAACACTCAAGCACCCAAAAAGAAAAAAGAAAATCATCAGGCCAACCTATGAGGACTCATATTCTCACATCCCGCAACTTGCCACTTATTTATATCAATACAGGAGTAATCAGAATCTTCTTCCCCAAAATGGAAGATGTACAGCATAACAAAGAAGGTACTGTGACAAAATATAATAATTTTATATCCTCCGTTATTCTAGAAATAAAACGTTTTCTTATACACAAAATTATTTTGTGCTTGTGCATTAGTCATTTTGATCACTATTGAAACTGATATTTTGAAATATTGCTTTTCTAAAATGTTTAAGAAATTGAATTTTTCCCCAAAATCTCATCAGTTGCATAAACTATGATACTATTCATAGGATATCATTTTGTAAATGCTTGATTACAAAGGCTTCTATATTTTCAAAATATCACTTTCTGAATGACAATGTATTGATCATAGGTGAAAGCATGCCTGTAATAAGATGCTTAGAGCCACATTTATTCATCAGACATACTGTGCTTTAAAAGTCTAGAGATAAAGTGGAGAGAGCATCAGGTTTCAGCGTGCTTGATTTACTGTAAAAACTCCTTCAAAGTGTTGCTGAAACAAGTTTAATATCTTTTCCTTTGCAATGTACATTAACATCCAGAGAAATACCAGGAATTAAAGGAGTACTAGCAAAAAGAAAAGAAGGTAGCTAGATTGTTTAGAATTTTTGTAAGGTGTATATTATAAATAACTTAGACTGTTCTGAAAAATACACAAATTTTTGAGGTTGGTATAAATGTCTGCCACACTATTTGTAATCCCAAAAATTGTGTATTGTTACTCCCAGTTGGGAAAGAAATGCTTTGTTCTCCTCATGTCCCACATAGCTTTACTATTCCCTTTAAGCAGACCATTCTTATTTTTCCCAAATAGTTTACAGTACTGCATCTTTTCTTTAATTATTTTCAGTTATCCCATCAATATTTTATAGATTCCACCATCATTTATGCATTGAAATGGCCTCACTATGGTTTTCTAATTCATCCTTGATTCATATCTGCGGTGTGCAGAAGCCAGTACACACGCATACATATTTACATGATTCTTCTGAGCTGAATGTGTAGTTTGCTTGTTCTTTCCACATCAAGCAATGTATTATTTAGTAAAGTGCTGAGCACTCACCACACTCCACATCTGTAGCTGAAAGCTTAGCTTTTTAAAACAACTTGTCTAGTATATCTCCGTGGGTGGTCACAGATGGTAAAAAGGATTGAAAGCTTATGTACATCCTCAAAGCATAGGCTCGTGGAGAACACTAGGCTTGCCTGTATATGTATGTATCAGATGTCACTGTTTCTAAAATATCATGAAATTCTTCGCAGGGAGGAAAAAAAGATCAAAAAGATGTAGCTTCTAATGTTGAGGATGGTGCAGAAAGACTATAGTAATCTAGAACATCTCCTTTATTCAAGTGCAGCTAACAGAAGTAAAAACTCTTATTCATTCATTCATTCATTCATTCATTCATTCATTCATTCTTCATTCATTCATTCATTCATTCATTCATTCATTCATTCATTCATTCATTCATTCATATACCACCCCATTAGTGAAATGCACTGTCCTGGGTGGTTTACAGCATGATAAAATATAACCCCGCAACAACAGGGTTATGAATAAAACCAAGAGACTGTAAAACATAATACAAAAGGCTTACTATTAGATAAGGCAGAAAATGAGGCATAAAATCAGATATGAAATTAGGCAGGGATGTCATAGAAGGCATCTCTAAACACTAATGTTTTTGCATTGAAGTAAAGGGCAGCCATGTGGTCCAAAGAAAATAAAATCCAAATGCAAAATTAATGAACCTTAAAGAATTGTTTCCAGTCTGTGACCACCTTAAAATGTGCCAGCCCCCCCCCAGGGGGTGATATTGCCCCTGTTGAGAATGGCTCCTATAGATATTCATTTGGGTCCTGATTAACCCTTCTTCATGACTGATTTGTGCCTTTGAATTCAGTGGGTTTCCTCTTACAGTGCGTAAGTCCAGATTCAGTCTGTTGGAGTCTCCTGGAATTGGGAGCAAGATTAAACAGTAATGCTCCTGAGTGTAAAGTAGTATGAAAAAGGCGAAGAGATGCTTTGACTCACATAAAATGTTTAGGAGATGAAGGTGGTTGCGAGGGGGGAATTGAAAGAAACCTACACACACACACCTTTACAGGTGAGAGTGTCCTGTGAGTGGAACTTTAGTCAGGATCCAAGCTGATGTCATGATACCATGCTGGTGCTGGAATGTCAGCTCCTTTATAAGCTAATACAATACCAGAGAAGCATAGATATGAAGCCAGAATGAGCAAACAGTATATGAATGAATTAAAAATGTATCTATCTATCTAATATTTGGGGGATATCTAGTGAATGTGTTACAAAGATCATTATATTAATAAGGAAATAATAATAAGCAATATGTAGAGTCTTTAACCCAAAAAGTAGAGACAGTAGCCCAGGCCTGCCTCATACTTCTCACAGTTAAGTTTCTTGAACTCTTTTTCTTTATAATTCAGAGGCTAAAATCTAGTAGTAGAACGTTGGTTATGTCATCAGCCACAGTATTCTTTTTTTACATATAAATGAACATTTTCCAATTCTACTTGAAGGTCCTTTGGGATCCTTGTCATCAAGAGGAAGCTGTCAGGAGCAGTGAGAAGGGGTCTTTGATTTCCAAAAATTGCTGCCACTGGTAAAATCAGCCAACTGGTGGCAATCTTCAGAAATTAAGAAACCTCTCCATCCCATAGCCACCAAGTCTTCCTCTTGTTGAATGAGATTCCAGCAGAATCATGGGACCTTTGGAGAGAGGGAATAGGAATTTTTTCATTGACCAAAGGTACCATGGTTGATCACATCATCAGTCTGTGTTCTAAGTTTTGCTATTGGATTTCAGTCATTGTCTCATGAACTATTTAGTAGCAGTGGCCACCTGAAGCCTATAGAAAGTATATTGCTTTATTTTGGCTGAAATCTTGTTGCTTAGTATATTAAATTATAATTAGATTAGGCCAATTGAAACAATGGAACCTATCGAGAATCTGACTCACCAAATCCCCACTGATATAGTGAGCCCATTGCAGTTGAGGTTTACTACATTAAGCAACAGGATTTCTGCATTTGTTCAGTTCTTATTACTACTAGCACCAGTAGCATTATTCTCAAAACTGACTTCACTGTTATGTACGCACTTCGTAAGTGACTAGTAAATATTTTTTTTCCTTTGGACATGCACTTGAATATAACCCAGATGTTGCTTGTTTCCCTTTCTAATTGCAGGTAATAAGTCAAATAAAGAAGATACTTTGGTACTTAAAATTGGTTCTGTGTCGATGGCTCCCCAGGCTGATAATCCTCTTAGTAGAGTTGTCTTAAGGAAAGACATTTATCAGTAAGTAGATAATTAATTAAATTAAATTATAATTACAAAACAAGTAATATTTTTGAGAAAAAACGTCACCACTGTGTTAAGTATTGTTGGGGACTGGATTGCATAGATTTGTCTTCCTTGATATTTGTACAGGGGTTTACACGTACATAGTCTAATGTGCACATCTGCCCAGTTTATACACTACAAAATCAAGCAACATAAACCATGTTTTTTATTTACACACATAGACTCATTCAGAAATATTACATTCAACACATAACTTAGCACACCATGAACAGCATGCCAGATGGGCAGTCATTATACAGTATTTCAGGTTTCTTCAGCATTGACATGTATAGTCTGAAAGTCTTATTTGGACTAGTATAAAAAGGGTTGTCAAATCTGGATTCTGGTAAAAAATCTTTATTTCATTTTTTAACAGATATTGACCACTGTGTTTTTTCTATGTGTGCACTGATATTTTTTCAGGCATTTTAAAAGTCCACAGAAGGTAATGGTAAACAACTGTTAAATTGACTGTTGTACTACTAGGAACATATAAACAAAATCTGACAATATTCCTCTCTCTGCCGCCAGTCAGAAATTCAGTTAGGAAAGGAACCTTTCTTTTGCAAATACCATCTCTCTCAGTAGCTGCATTGTGTGAAAGTGATTTTCATAATGTTAAATGTTAGCAGACATTCAAAATGCTGGACTGCTGATGTCATGTGGATCAAAGCTGTGAAAGAAAGCAAACTTCTGAGGAAAAGTTTCACAGTAAACACATTTTTTGTATGAATGTCGTGCTCTGGATTGTGTCACAGACTTTGTACAAACCACACTAATCACATGTAGGGAGAAAAACTGGAGAACATATGTAATCAACATGATAAAAATAATATATGATCCTTAGTAGAGCTGGCACTGCTAGGAAACATAAAAGTAGAGTTGCAAATAACACCAAGTGAGAAAAGTCACAGAAATAGAGATGAACAAGTGTCTTATGCTTCCTGTTGGTCTGTTTCTCAGATGTGGCTTTTTTTGGTTTTGTTTCTTGAAAAGCATACTTCAATAGAAGTTAGTTACAAACATCAGAATCCTTTCCCAGCAGTAAAACATTTTGCAGCTTTAAAAATGACAGGTTTTACATTCAGTCAGACATAGGAATTGCTAGAATGGTAAAGGCTTTTTTAACTTTACAATGTCTTCCTGACAAGGGAAGAAAGATGTTTCATACTGCACTTAAAGGGGGATTTACCTTGTCCCATATCTACAAATGCAGGCAGCTGTGATGCATGAACTGGTGCTGTAGATCTGAGTCACCAGCTATCCCATAAGAATCTTCTCATGGAAAGAAAGATTAAATAAATAGTACAGTGTAGTTTTCAGCTAACACATCAAATAATAAGAGTAAACCATAGAGCACCATCTAACATTTAACGTTCTAATTTAGATTAAAGAAAGTTGGTCTGCATCCATTGTTTGAGAACGTGAACTATGTTTTAGTGTGATTGAGACAGAAAGCTTGGAGAGAGTGGCATGTTACCAAAAATCGAATGGGCTGTGTGCTTCACAGTTTACAAATGCTTCTGGATACAGAGCTTCTGGCTGAGAGTTGTGAGATTGTGCCAGCATGTATAATTGAAATGGGTGAATAAATCTTAAAATGTAGTTATGTTTTCCACCTTGGATTACAGAAGATTGGTTTTCATTCATTATCTGAGAATGTGAACCTTTTTATCAGTATAACTAGAATTACATGATTTGTAGTTTATTTCTCTGTCTGTTTTTCCTTTGCCAAGGGCAGATTTGTTTCCCACAGTTTTCCACACAGGAATAACCTTAAAGTATAGGAAGCTGTGGCCTAAATTGAATTGTTCATCCCAACTAGAGTAGACCAGTTGAATAAATGGAAATAACATAAACATGACTCTTCAAATATGCATTTATTTCTTTATTGTTTCAGTAAGTTCAGTCCAGTTGTTACTAATGGCTGTAATTAGGTCAGCATGTATCTGAACATTTGGAAATCATTATAAATATATTTCTCACTCTGAGTGGACAAATGAGCACCCTTCTATGCTCACACTAAATTTAACACATCACAGCAGGCATCTATTTTCCTATGTTGAAATTATCTCCATTTATGAAAGGTATATCATCTGACACAGTGCTAAGTACATGGCTGCATATAGGCAAGGAATCTCAAAACATTTCTATAAATTTTAATGACTTCATGTACTAATCAATGGTCAGAATCCTATCAAAGGTAAATCTAAAACTCAGGGATTATAAAAGATCAATGGGAGAAAATATTATCTGACCAGGATAAAATAAGGAGAATATGGAAACAATGTGGAAATATAGGGGACGTGGTGGTATTGCGGGTTAAACTGCAGAAGCCTCTGTGCTGCAAGGTCAGAAGACCTGCAGTCATAAGATCGAATCCACGTGACGGAGTGAACTCCCATCGCTTGTCCCAGCTCCTGCCAACCTTGCAGTTCAAAAGTATTTAAATGTGAGTAGATAAATAGGTACCACCTCGGTGGGAAGGTAACGGCGTTCCGTGTCTAGTCGTGCTGGCCACATGACCACGGAAACTGTCTATGGACAAACGCTGGTTCTACGGCTTGGAAATGGGGATGAGCACCGCCCCCTAGAGTCAGACATGACTCGATTAAATGTGAAGAGGAACCTTTACGTTTACCTTTTTACCTTTACCTATGGAAACAATACACTGAAGAACTATACAAAAAAATAGTGAGGAAGAATCTTGTTATGAAGAACCTGCAGTTTTAGAAAGTGAAGTGAAAGCTGCTCTAAAAGCACTTGGTTGGAAGAAAGAAAGATATCAATAAAACTGTTCTAAGTTACAGAGACTGAATCTGTCAAAATCATAATAATGTACCAGCAAATACAGAAAACAAAACAATAGACCACACAATGGACAAATTCAATATAGAATGAAATTCCCAAGAAAAAGGACACAAGGAGTGCAGTATCTATAGAACCATTGCATTGAACAGCAAAGTGATGTTCTGGTATTGCATTGAAGATGTTTACTATGTGTGAAGCAAGAAACACCTGATATTCTGGCTGCATTTGAAAAAGAAAGATTCACTAGAGATCGTACTGCAAATATACTCTGGCCACCGGAGTAGAGATGGGATGTTGGCATTCGTATCTTGAAGGAGAGAAACATGAATATCACCACCACAGGTTTCCAGCCCGGTTTGGCCCTCCCCCAATAACTGGGCCATTCACTTACTGCTTGCAGCACGGTGCACATGGCTGGCCTCATTCATGCCACACCAATCACAGAAGTACTCAAAAGCTGAGTGGGGAGACTTGTCATTCCGCCTCCTGGCTGGAGTGGTCAGAAGCGGAGGGAGGCGGGGAAACCCCAGCCTGGCAACTTCCATAATTGCTGAGACATGAACAAGAATGGCCAGATGCGCCGCACAGCAAGCATTAAGTAGAAGGCACCTTTGGTGGCGATATTCCTATTCATCACCCCAGGAGATGAATACGAATATCCAATCTCTATTTCAGAGCATACCAAAGAATTTTAGAAGATCATATTTTGAAGATACAAATCATGAATACATATGGACAAGGTAACTTTAATCCTGACACTGAATAAATTGAAATAGTTAAAGAGAATATTGCTAGGAAAAGTTGAAGGCAGTTGGAAAAGAGGAAGACCAAATATGTGATGGATTTATTCAGTAAATGAACTCATAACCTTGAGCTTGCAGAGCTGAACAGGATTATTAAATGATATGCACTTTGGGACATTTCTCATTTATAGAATTGCCTTAAGTTAGAGGCAACTCCATGGCAAATACCAGCAGTGGAATCCAGTTACAGTGGTGCCCCGCATAGCGAGGTTAATCCGTTCCAGGAAACATCGCTATACAGTACAAAAAAGCCCATTGGAATGAATTAAACTTCGTTTAATGCGTTCCAAATGCATTCCAAATGGGCCCAGAACTCACCATTATGCGATGTTCCTCCACAGCGCAGGCATTTCTGCACCCTCGGTAAGTGAGGGCAGGGTGCAAAAACGCTGCGCGTGGCCATTTTGGGTCTTCCAGTGACCATTTTGGAGCCGCCAATCAGCTGATTTTTAAAAAACGCTATGCGAAGAACGGTAAGCGAAACGCTTACCGATTGTCGCAAAACGAGTTTTTGCCTATCTAGGCATCGGTATGCAATCGCATTAGCGATCCCAAAAAATGGATCGCTATGCGAATTCGTCGTTAAACAGTGCGCTCATTATGCGAGGCACCACTGTATTTTCATATGCCAGCATAAGTCAAACAGCATACCTCATAGTGGCAAATTGCTGCTATTTAAGAAGTTGATTCTTACATTTCATGTCATGTGACAAGTGATGCAACTCATTCACAACAGAGAATATGAATGGTTGTTGTTGTTTTTTCGGGATCTTTGGCCATGTTCTGAAGGTTGTTCTTCCTGACGTTTCGCCAGTCTCTGTGGCTAGCATCTTCAAAGGACTGGAGTAGGAACTCTGTCCATGCTCTGAGTTCCTACTCCAGTCCTCTGGAGATGCCGGCCACAGAGACTGGTAAAACGTCAGGAAGAACAGCCTTCAGAACACAGCCAAAGAGCCAAAAAACCCCACAACAACCACTCATATGATCCCAGCCATGAAAGCCTTCGAGAATACAGAGAATATGAGCTTTGAATTCTTCACAACCAGCAATTTGCTGCAGCTATTTACATAGTTTGACTTACGCCAGCATACATAAGTAAAATATTCTGGTTGTGATCCATGAACTTACACTCATCAGCAGTCTTACCTTGATGCAGCAATTGTATCTCTTTAACAATGAATTTTTCACCAGTACATATTTTTGTAGGAGAAAGGATGGTAGAAGGTCCAGCAATATTAGCTTCACTTCCTAGTCTCCTTTGCATGAAATCTGAGATACATGAAAAGGCTTCTTAATTGGAGGAGTAGCAGAGCCTTCTGTACATGTTTATATATTTCATGG